GGATTGATTCAGTGACTGGGGTAATCGGGATGGGTGTGTCAGAGACAGTGTGATTGGCACAGGGCAGAGCAGAGTTTAGGGCTGTTGTACATAGGGTTGTTGTGAGTCGCAAGCAACGGCATGTAACAACAACACAACAACAACTGGAGTGAGAGGGCATCCTTTTGTGGTTTTGATTTGTATTACTCTTACTGCCAGTGATTTTGAACATTTCTTCATGTGTCTGTTGGCCATTCAAAGCATTGGTATTTTTTATGGTTATTGTTGCTGTTGTTTAAGCAATATTATTTATTGTTCAAACAATATCCAGGGACCCATGAGCCTTAAGGTATTAACTAATAGGATGCTAATTGAAAGAGTGACAGGTCAAACTCACCAGGTGCTACGTGGGAAGAAGGTGATCATTCTGTTTCCATAAAGATTTACCGCTTCTGCCTCTACGGGGCAGGTCTCCTCTATCCTGTAGGGTCACTATGAGTCAGGATTGACTCAACAGTAGTGAGTGAACAATACTGTATGTAAGGCGCTTGGTCTGAGGCCTGTACACAAGAAGTAACTATAATAATAATATCACACACATATATAACCCTAGCTATGAACCAAACCAGTTGGCATTGGGTTATTTTCAACTTATGGTGACACACACATTTTAGGGTAGAGCTGTGTTCCACAGGGTTTTCAGGGGCTATGACTTTTTATTTTTATTTTTATAATTTTAATTACATTTACAGAGATTTTGGATTTCCATTCATTCATTGCTGCACTTCTCTCCCCGCCCAGCCCTCTCCCCATCCTCCCCAGTTCACTCCTCTCTTTGAAAAGTAAAAGAAACACTCCCTCCCTGGTACACAATCCCCCCCGCACCCCTCCCACCGCCCCAAGTGCATTCCACTATGCAACCTCAATTGTGAACTCCTGTGATAACCATAATACCATATCATACATCGCTTTTAAATTATTCTCTCCCTCATCTGTTTCAGTGCAGTATTCACAATTTATCCAGGTTTTTCTCAGTCTTACCCCAACCCTGATATCAGTCCCATTTTACAGCAGTGGCACCAGGCAATATTTGTCCTTTTGCAACTGAGATATTTTACTCAGCATAATGTCCTCCAGGCTCACCCATTTTTAATATTGCATGAGTTCCTTGTTTTTCAATGCAGCATAGTATTCCATTGTGTGAATATACCATAGCTTCTCTATCCATTTGTTTGTTGATGGGCACCTGGGTTGTTTCCAACTCCTTGCTATTGTGAACAGAGCTGTGACAAACATGGGTGTGCATATATCTGCTTGGATGTCAGTTATGGTCTCTTTGGGATATATTCCCAGTAGT